AAAGAAAGAAAGAAAGAAAGAAAGAAAGAAAGAAAGAAAGAAAGAAAAGAGCCCCTAAATCTCCCTAAAAGTCAATACAGACAACCCTCCCTGAATTACCTACAGCCCTGCAACAACAAAGTGATCGAGGTGGGAAAAGCCAAATAAATATTGCCCAAAGATTTCAAATGTTTGCTAGTGAATTTGTGCCAGCTGGTGTTTAGTGGATCAAATACTTAGTATCAGGTCAGGGCAGCTATTTACAAAGACATCCAAACAGTCTGCTGGACCACCTTGTTCATGGAGTTAGTAACCTTCGTGAGGCCATCAAAGTAAGGTACTGAATGAACCTGAGCACATACAACACTGTTTTAAATAAATATGCTAATTCCAAGATGGCCATGTTATCCATCTTTCCAAGGAGAAGAAGTGAGTTCAGAGTAAGTAATGCTTAGATAGAAATGGTCTGGTTTAATTTTTTGTTTAAGTAAGAGAACTACCTATAATCCCAAGGAGAGGTGGCATCTGAATATTGTATGTGAATTAGGGTGCTATGTATGGAATCTTACTTATAGTTTTAAAACTAGGCATTCTCTCTGAAATGGAAAAGCCATGTTTATATTCAGGCTGCAAATATACATTGTGGTACAAGTTATTTCTTCATAGTGGTAATTTATTCGTACTTATTGAGAATGAGGCCTAAAACCCTGTCAGATTAGATCCTACCCAGAACCCCCTTCACTGGATCCCTGGCAGTGGGGAAAATCAAGCAAACTTGACTCATAGAGGATGCTGATTCCAGAAGGAACATAAACCTGGACAGATGTTTCCTTAACCAGTCAAACCTTCTGGGTTGCAGTCCTAACACATAAAGAGAATGTCATGTTGGTCCATGGTGTTCCACAGCTGTACTATACCCTTTCAGAGCTCCCTTCTAGAATGCATACAAACAGAATCATAAAACCAAGCACACACAATCACAAGGACAAGCCAATAAGCTATTGCTAAAGGGGGGGGGGGGGAAGCCAGATTGAGGAAATGATAAGACTATTTTTGTTCCAAATGAATGACATAATTGCCCCATAAAACTCTATGCTAGTTTTGCCTATAAGCAACTCCCCCTCCCCGTCATACAGCATCTCTCATTCACTTATTCAAGGCACAATTTACCCAGGAGAGCATTTCTCAAGCTATTTATACTGTACATTAAAAGCTCAAAGTAAGTAGTGTAATACAGGGGATAAAATCAGAGGCAATATGAATCCATATGAAAATTAATTCTTGGCCATAGTCTCAACTCCACATAAAATATTACAGAGTTTTGTGATAGAGTAAAATACTACATAAAATTAAATTTGGAAAAAAAATGATTTTTAGATTTTCTAATCCCTCCCAGGCTTGTTAACTAAACGAAACAGACATATATACATACATACATACATACATACATACATACATACATACATACATATATACACATATACATATATATATATATATTGGGGGGGGGAGCTTAGGCACTCTTACACAAGATAATGAAATCCGCATTAAACTCAATAGCAAGTAATTCTGCTATAAAAATGATAGGAGTGCATATAATTATCTTCATTCTTTGCAGAATAAACAGAAAAGGAAAACAAATACCTTATTTTTTAAAACTTGCTGATTCATTGAATGTTACTAGGGAACACATAGGAAAGATATATTTGATAATTTTTTATG